AATTGGCCATTCTAACCTAGGTTAGAGGGGAACCCCCCTTTCCAAAGAGGCTCAATTGAGTTGGGATTCCTTGGGCTTTTCAAGCCACCTACCTAGGTTAATGTAGGGCAAACCTCTATCTTGAATTAAACGACTAGGTTAATCGTGATTAAGCTGTCCAACCATCGGTTTGAGGGAGAAGGTAAGTCAACCCTCAATTGCCTTAAACAAGAGGCCTACTCTAGTAGCCTATAATGTATCCATTGGTTTGGCAATCGAGAGTGTGGTCTTCAACCATAGTTGTACTTCCTAGCGGTTCACGATTTTCTTCCCCATAACGACCCATTCGAGTCCTTAATAGTTATGGTCCACAAAATACGTCCATCTTCAATTAATATGTAATGAATTAGCTCCCTTTCCTCCATGCTAGTCACGACTCACGTGTAGTTGTAAGCAACTCATTTATCTATCAAGAATGCTCCTAATCGATCCTTATATCTCCATATTTGAACCTTTATTTTTGGACCACGAGAACTATGTATGTTGGCAACAAGGTTGTCAAACTCGCGGGTCGACCCCCTTTGACCTGGCCCGGAGAGAAAAACCGGTTGCACGCACCTGCCGGGTCGACCGCTACAAGGTACCGCCGTACCGGGTTGAAGGTCAAATTGTGTCAATTTTTTCTTTGGTTTGCGAAATTCGCATATTTTCCGATTTTTCTTTTCGCCTAACTGAATCTTTGGAATTCTAAGTTGAACATTTGATATTGATGTTGTATAAGTGTGTGTGAATTTTCACTATATGTTGGATCTAAGTACGACATGTTATTTTGGTGTAATATTATATGTTATAACTCATATGTTATATGAGGTTTGATGTAATTTATTAGGATAAGTACAATATAATGACTCTTTCTATATTTACGGGCTAAACCGGGCTAAAACGGGTGACCCATTAACTCTTGACCCACTAGCTCGACCGGGTCTGGATCAGCCCGCGGGTTGACAACCTTGGTTGGCAATCAGTTTCACATCAACAAATCCGTAAGTCTTGCTTATAGCCCCATCTTGACCCATCTTGAATGCTCCTCAGATATCTTTGAACCTCTTAATTTATCTCTTGGCCCATGGTCCATGTGAAGATATTATTTGACCTCGAATAAGCTCATGTGGGGAAATATGGAAAAGGTAGTAAGGTGATGGTTGGACCTTAAAAAGCTATCCAAAAATTCCACCAAAACACATCCTCAAATGACACTCCGGTCCAAAAGAGAAGCCATTTGACGACTTAACTTAAACACTATGACCGGTTTCCTCTCACATGAGACACTTTTTTCAAAACATTTTCAAAACAAGGAGCACCTTTTGAAAATCTTTTTGAAGTCCAAAATTTTGGGAGAAAGTCCCACACACATGTCCTAACCATGATATTAAATAATATTAACACATCCAAGAGGAAATAGAAGTAAAGCCATTCGTGATCAATAATCTCTATAGTGCCACACTACTCCCCATACAATGCACACCATCATAACATCAAAATTTTCAAAGAACAATGAGTAGGAATAATGCATGGGACAATGCGTTTATAACTCCTAAATTTTTTAAATTTTTAGCATACAACCTTGATTCCAAAACACTCAACCATTCAACCATTCAACCACAAGTACTTGGAGCCTTCAAATTGTAGAAATTTGGCAATAACAAGGCTCCAAAGGATTCAAAGTAAAGGCCATTTATCACATTTGAATTCACTTGCCATTGACATAGATATTCACCACCCCCATACTTAAGTATGACATTGTCCCCAATAGAGCAATAATAAGGGTGGAACAAAGTTACCGAATCATTGGCGAGTAAAAGTTGGACTTGATTTGGACCAGTTTCGAGGGAGAGCTTCACACGTAACAAACAGAAAAACATGCTCACCAAAGGCGAGGTTATTACACAAACAAAATGTTCAAACATCATAAGAGAAGAAAAATGAACTAAGTAGTTCACAATCACACACTAAAACGAGAAAGAAAAAGTCTGGAGTCAAAGGGGAGAGAAGTAGAGTGAAAGTAGTACTCTACCCACATGGCACTCATGACGGATCATCGTCTTGTGGTGGCTACTCCTGATGAGGAGGGGAATGATGCCAGTAGGGGTCCTGGAATTGGATACGCTAAAAGCATAAAAGCTCCTCCTCCACGGGAGTGAATGACGTCGGGCGTCCCGCTTTCGGTCGAGCTGAGATGAGAATCCACCAACCTCGCCGCTATTGCAGTGACTCAGGCCTCAAGGTTGCTCATGGAAGAAGGACTAGCTCCTTATGAGGAAGTAGAGGCACTGGTATGGCCACGTCGATGCAATGGTGGAGCTCTCTAGAATGGCTCTCTAATCTCCTCCACCACTAGCGGGTAGAGGCCGTTGATGTACTCGATGCCTCGCAGTACGCACCAAACCCATGTGGTTAAGTGTCTCTACCAGGTATATCTCCATCTGACTAACCATCATGCATATGGTGATGTCAGTCTCGTAGAATCTCATCAATCGAATGATGATGGGGCCTATGTACATCAATTAGCTTGGAATATGGAGAGCCACCATCCCTCTCAAGGTCACCTGCCCTGGAGCTTACACACTCGGGACTATGAAATGTTTCAGCAACATGTGGAGGATCCTCCACTAAGGTCATAAGAGAGTCGCCCTCGTGTGACCACAATGAAATCTATGATCTTTGTGCTTCTCTGGGAAGATCGCCTCATACACCCACTGGGGGTCCACATCTTGAATGTAATCGAGCTCCATCATGGTCATGATTGTCGTGTTGAGCCCTAAAGTCTGGCCCAGGGGGTCATACCCAATCGTGTGGACGACTCCACCTAGACTAATCTGGGCATACGGTTGAGCATGTCGTCCTTGAGGCTGCTCGTGCTTGAAAGTGGAGCAGAACTTCAAGCACAACTCCTAGTAAATTGGCTCATCAATGCTAAGCAGCTGACGCCACTGCACATGAGCGATGATTGTTGAGATCGCAATCTGCATTGAAAGTGCCCAAACATGTCTAAATCGAGGCGCTAGTGGGGTCCAATGTTTTCGTTCCTCCATGACTCGTACCGATCCTTGTAGTGGGGCACCACGACTGAATGTAAGGATGCATAGGGTCAACTATCTTGCAAAATACCAAAACATAAAGCACCATACGTGGAAATATCATAAGATAACGCACTTTGGGGAGAAAATGTTGTCCCCCCACACTTAATTTTGAACATAGGTCACAAGCTAGCATAAACTTTTCACAAGATCGGATTACAATCAAATAAGCTCAATCATCCCAAAACACATCGAGGCATGAAACTTAGTGTTTCATAGATCACCTAGGTTGCATATGCAAGGCTAGATTATGCTTTCGAAGGCTACCATTCAACATTTACAACATGACATCCAAACTAGGCTCAACCACTAAGCTGAGAGTTGTTTGTTAATCAAACACTAGGTAGGCTCAACCACTGGGTAGTTCGATGTGGAAACCGGGACTCCAATTCAGTTCATTCCGAACCAAACTACATTTGCAGATTCCGAGCTAACTGAATTCCGACCTGCCTCCTTCGGCTCGATTTGTTCGGTTTTGAATATAGTTCTTTTTGATTGGTAAAACCGAACATAATATCCAGCCTAAAATATGGATTGCAAGCCACATCATTTTTTATCATTAATTTTTTTTTATTTTTTTATTTAAGTGTTTATGTTTTTATAAATCAATTAAAAAAACAATTGCACTTAGTGCATCCACAACAACCTTTCATATTGAATTGCAAAGTGATGTGACAATGCAAATGCAATTGCATTTGTATTTTGATGGATGAAAGTCTTAATTGCATTTATGCAAGCTATCATAAAATGCAATTCCATTTGCAATTGCAAGTTAATTGCGTTGATGTAGGTAAATGAAATTAAAGTGACATGGACTGCAATTTTTACTTTTTTTAGTTGGCAATAAAGAGCACAATGCAATTGCTTTTACAATTTCATTAATGTGGATGCTCTTATAAGTAGATTGCATTGATGTGGTAAAATGAAAATAATATAAATTGGATTGCAAAAAAAATCATGATATCAATAAAGAACACAAATATAATTGCATGTCCAATTGCATTGACGTGGATACTAAGAAGACATGATTTTTTTATGAGTTGAGAGCTGGGACAAGCCAGTGGAGGGCCTCGCCAATAACAAAAGGCTATTCTGTAATTTACTAATTTCTTCTTTATCTTTTTTATCTCTTCTATGTAGGACTGCAAATAAGTCGAGCTGAGTTTTGCCTTAGTTTGAGCTCGACTGGTGAATAAACGAGTCGAGTTTGAGTCAACCTCGTTTATTAACAAGCCGAGTCGAGCTCTAATTAGGCTTGTTTTAATGTAATGATGAAAAAAGAAAATGATAGTAAAATGGTCAACATAAAATAATCCAATCTTATAATCTGTTAGTATCATATTATTTAGTTAATAAATTTTAAATACTATAAATCATGTTATTTTATATAATCGAATCAATCTACAATACATAATTTCTTTTTAAAATTAAAAATAAGACATATTTGCTTACATACTCAATGTGTTAAACTTCATCTAGGGTGAGATATAATTTAATCATCATATGAATTATCAAAGTTCAACTCATAAGATATAGATTGATTCGCTCATATGTTGGTAATCGAGTTGGTACTCTAACCACTAATGCTAAGATATCTCATGAGCTCTAACTGAGCCAGCTCACGAGTTAAACTCAACAAAGCAACGAGTCAAACTAGCTCGCAAGCTTAACAAATCTTAGCTCAAACTTGGCTCGTTGGTAAACGAGTCCGTTTCGCGTGACTTTTTTCCGAACCGAACATCAAGCTGCTCGCGAGAATTCGCAAGGTTAACAAAATTTAGCTCAAATTTGACTCGTTAGTAAACGAGTCCTTTTTTATTTTTGAGCGAATTTTTTCCGAATCGAACATTAAGCGGCTCGTGAGAGTTTGGCTCGTTTGCAACCCAGGGACTTTGTTTTTCCACTTTCCGTTGGGGTTGTCTTACGTTTGGTCCTCCGTTCGATCCAATCCATCAGACGAACCCATGGTTGTCCCGTGCGGTTTCTACTGTTACCCACCCTGCATTTCCTACCGTTTTCAGCTCTAGCGTCGGAATTCTCAATCTCTGTTCGTCGTCGTCTTTGTCCATGGTCATGGCCGCCACTGCTCGGACCGTAGAGGAGATCTTCAAAGATTACACTGCTCGAAGAGCCGGCCTTGTTCGTGCCTTAACTGATGGTACCCTTCTCCTCCAACATACCTTTCTCAACTTCTCCTCGTGTTTCTCAGGTCTGTTACCTCTGTTGAATGATTGTTCATCATGCCTAGTTATTCTGATTTTTCTTCTCAGATTCGGATGAATTCTACGCACAGTGCGATCCAGGTAAAGTCCAGATCGGGAATTTTCTCTTTTTCTTTCTCCCTGTTTCCTTGTTTTCATCTAAGTTTGGTTCTCGGGAAAACTGAGTGGAAAAGTTGTCAAGCTGAAAGCTCACTGTACACGTTTCGATCTGCGGTGTTTGAGTTAAAAAAATTAACCTAAATTGACTTGCTGAAAATCACCGTTTAGTTTTTGTCTTTCTTCTGTATCTTACATTACTATGTATGGGCAGCGTATGATTCAATTCAACAGTGTATGATTAGTAGGGGTGATGTGAGTGTATGTATGCAGAAAAGGAGAACCTGTGTCTGTATGGACATCCAAACGAGAGGTGGGAGGTAACACTACCGGCGGATGAAGTGCCACCGGAGCTACCTGAACCTGTTCTTGGTATCAATTTTGCTAGAGATGGCATGACCCGCAAGGACTGGCTTTCCCTCATTGCTGTTCACGGTGATTCTTGGCTGCTCTCTGTGGCTTTCTACCTCGGAGCTCGTCTTAATAGGAACGACAGGTGCCCCTTTTTTCTTGACTGAGCCTGTTGGTAGTGATTGCTTTTGCACTTCCTGGCAACTGGATTTTCTGGGATTGTTTCCTTCTTGTGACTCAATCCAAGCACTATTCATTTTAGGTATACGACTAATTTGCAAATGCGACTATCCAAAGTCAAACCCCATTGTTTGTAAGGAGTTTACTGGGCTGTATCGTCATTTTCATAACAATTTGCTGGACATTTACCTAGTTTATATTTAACTGGTGATGATTTAAGTTGCTCTACAGAATTGAGTGATTCTATATCAGACTTGTGTTTGTTTATTTTGAGCTGAAGTGGCTGAGCATCCGGATGATTTTCTTTCCTAAAACTCGTCGGGTCTATGCTTCATGACAGTACCTCCCTTCCATTTTTACCACCTTCACTGTCAATTCTACTCTAAGCGATGTTAACTTTCAGCCCGTCCTTGTTTGCTTTGATATGCTGTTGGAGTTTTTAGTAACTTGGCACTATGGATCAATTAGCCTCCTTAACTCAGTTTGGTTGCTTATTGCTTTGATTGCTTGTTTGATGCCTGTTCGGATGTATAATGGAGCATGGTTTACACAGAACTGAAGTTAATTGTGATTTTACAGGAAACGACTTTTCAGCATGATCAATGATCTCCCTACTGTCTTTGAAGTTGTAACAGACAGGAAGCCCAGAGAAAAGCCCAGTATCGATAGTGGAAGCAAATCTCGAGGCAGCACTAAGGTTTGATTTTGTGCTGCAATGCTAGCCTCATTTTCTTTTAGACTAAGGTGTGCTATCAGAACATTTCTTGACTGTGGCTCTTGCAAGCTATAATCTTGTATGTCACTATGATGCTGGTCTAGTGAAATCCCTACTCTCAATTCCTGAAAGTTGATTGGCTCCAAGTCTCATTTACCATTCTTAAATTTTGTGTAGAGATCTAGTGATGGGCAAGTGAGAAGCAACCCCAAACATGAAAACTACCATGTTGATGAAGATGAACACATGGATACACTTTGCGGAAGCTGTGGTGGAAACTACAACGCTGATGAATTCTGGATCGGCTGTGACATCTGCGAGAGATGGTTCCATGGCAAGTGCGTGAAAATAACCCCTGCCAAAGCTGAGACCATTAAGCAATACAAGTGCCCTTCATGCTGCATTAAGAGGAACAGGCCTTAACCCCCTTTAATACATGGCCCTTCTTACTGGCACACCAGACTGTAGTCAATTTAGTCCGAGTATCATTTACACTAGCTGTAATGCATTGTTATAAAAATGCCTTTTCATTTATTTTCATCTGTAATCCTCATTTTCTCAAATGTCAGCTTATTGTAATCTAATCTCCTGATGTATGAAGTGCTACAATGACATTTGGTTTTTCGGCCTCACTCTTATCTGAAACATTCTTCTCTATTCTCCATCTGGTGCAAAACTTTGCCTAGTTTCTGGTCTCTACTGGATGGAACTAATCTTCCTAGATATGGATGCAGACGAAATACCGCTGAACGCAAAGCAAATCAGCCCTCATTTCTGGAAGAAGACAAAGATGAGAGGTGGGGACAGTTGATCATGAGCTATACAATACGAATGGCGGGATGGTAAGTAGTTTCTTCAGAGTCCTAGAAATACTTGGATCAAGGCATTTATGTTCAGTTGGACTCTGCAACGACCTTGATTGATTTTGTCCGGCAGCTAGAGACATTGGCTAGGATCTGCTCTCCATAAGAAACCATATTTCCCTTTTAGTTCTTCACGTCAGCTATCTCCCTTCTCTTGTCACTTTACCTAGTTTCCTGATTGTTTCAGTTTTCTCTTCCTCTTGTGGCCTGCCTTCTTTCCTTTATAACTTTCTCATCACCAGAGGGGCTTCTGTTCTTCTCTGCAGTGCTTGAGCTGGGGCTGTCTACTACATTTCACTTGAGCACTGCCGCTTGAGTTGGGATCTTCTTCTACCTGATTGTGTAGACAATGGGTTCCAGTCGCTCGGATGGCGCTGGGAAAGAGCGACTGCGGTGGACACAAGAGCTACACGACCGGTTTGAAGAAGCTGTTAACCAGCTCGGTGGCCCTGACAGTATATAAGCTCTCTCCTTCCAATCCAACTTGCATTGCGCGTTTCTGTGTACAGATATAGATATGTTGTTTATATATTTGCGCAATTGCTCTGCAGGGGCTACTCCGAAAGGGATCCTGAAGGCTATGAGCATTCCTGGGCTAACCATCTACCATGTCAAGAGCCACTTGCAGGTAAGCAGCCTCAATCTCATAGATGACCAATGTTTTTAAAGTTTTTCAGTCATCTGATAAGGGTCGATGGTTCAAATTCTAGAGTTGGGTATTAAATTGTAAATGCCATATAGGACGATGTAAACTAAAAGTTGCACAATGTAAACATGCGTTATATATGATTGAATAAGGTTGGGAAACGGTTCGTTATGGTCCACCTGGTAATATATACGGTTTACGATGTTGACTAAAGGATTGGATTTGGAACACAGACTAGGATACGATTAATACATATAGTGCAGTCTGGATTACTCATATGCAGACTTATCCTATATGGTTCGGATCAGGAAGACCATGTTGCGTAAAAAATGAACAGACCTAAATTCCTACATCATGCATAGTTTTTACTCTCAATCCAAGTAAATAAGAAACAAAGAAAGTCAAAGCAATCCTACTTCCGATAACGTCGTAATATTAACAGACGCGATCATCTATGCTTTCTGGCAGAGTGTGGTTTGTGAATGAAGCAGGAAACGAGATTCGCAAAACTAAGTTTGAGACCTGGGTCTCATTGGAGAGTGAGGAGAGTAGTCGAGTGAGATGCTAACACGAATTGGGAAGTGGGTTCCATTCACAGTATGGTTTGATTAATTGTGGTTTGGACAAGACCAGACCTAGAGATCAAAACATCCCATAATTCTGAGCATAAACCAAACCAATCCCTTTTTAACTGTCTGGTCTGTTTGGTCTAGCGTTTTTGAAACAATACGGTCTATTTTTCCAGCACTAAACAAAATAAAAGTTGCATTTAACTTCCCGATCAGTTTGCAAGTGATTAGAAGTTTTAGGTAGTAAAATGTAAGATATTACTTTTCTAAATATTTTTTTCCGATAATAGATTATAAATATGATAGGTTTAATGTAAGATGCCAACTTTTATTTGAGTTGGCAATTGGGTCTAAAAGTTTGGGTATTAGTGTTACACAAACCCAACTTATTATAGGTCAATTCAAGTTTGGGTAATTATGCTTTTGGGGGCATACCAATATCCAACTTTTGAGTTTGGGTCTAAATTGAACCCATAATATTGGAAGTCCAAAAGAAAATGGGCACCCAATTATAATATATTTTTGTCTGATTTTTTGTTATGAAAATAATTGTACGATCGAAATACCTACATTAAATGTGTACAATTGGGTTGAAAGTAGTTAATGAATGGTTGATATTGTTTTTTGTGTATATTATCATCTAGACCAAATTAGACCCATTTGGATATAAACCAAATGAATTGACCTAAATAGTACCCAATTCAAACCCAACTCATACCCAAAATTATTAAAAGTGCATATGGATCGATTTGAATCCGACCTAATACTCATATAGATCATACATTTGAATCAAATTAACCAATAGATGTATCCATTGCCATGTCTAACTTTCAGCTACTAAATAGTAATGTTGCGGAAATCCATCAACTATCCAACCCGTTTATCCACCAACCTAATTCACATGGGTCAAAGTGTTCAGAGTTGGATGGATTGTAAGTGGGTTGGGTTCAGTTTAGTTGATGGTTACCATCTGTCTATTCGGTTCTTTTGTGAGCTTATTCCCATTGTGCTGGTTTTGAACTTTCCAGAAATACAGGATCTCCAAATTTATCCCAGAAACACCCAATAGTAAGATTATTTGTGCCATTGAAACTTGCACAATTTCCCTCCCTGGTTTTGTTTTAATGATGAAGACACTCATATCGTGTCCATGTCAGGAGGGATGGAGAGAAGGAACATTTCGGAGATGCTGCCCAATTTCAGTGCCACCTCGTAAGTAGCATTCCGAAGGTAATTGGTCGTAAGTTTTCTTCTCAAGAAGCCGCTAACGAACAAACGAAATCTCTCCTGTGTTGTGCTGTCATTTAGAGGAGCTCAACTGAACGAAGCACTGCAAATGCAGGTGGAAGTGGAGAGGAGGCTGAGCGATCATCTTGAGGTTCAGAGAAGTCTAAAGCTGAAGATCGAAGCTCAGGGGAGGTTCCTGGAGAGGATGGTGGAGGAGCACAGGAACAGAGCTGCTTTCTCCAAGCCTAGGCCCTTCCCTACCATGTCCTTGCCATCTCTCTGCGACGAGTCCGAGTCCAACACCAAGGAAGACGAGTCGGACTCGGAAGGAGACCGCCTGGAAGTTCAGTCGGCACAGGATTTCAGGGCTATGAAGAGACTCAGAATGGAGAACGACATTCTGCCGCTGCGGTACAAGATCTCTTCTTCAGTGGCTGCTGCGGCAGTACTGGATCCCTACTCGGCGGCTGTTCAGAACATGATGATGTTTCAGAAAGATGCCAAGTTCTCGTACCCAACTCAAGGGATCAACTTTGCCTGGAACAACATGGCCCGCCCCACCCCACTGCTACCTAGCTTTTTCTGAAATCAAAACCACAGTTGAGGACTAACGCATTATTTGGATTGTTTCTTTTTTATTTTTTCGTAAACAATACATGAAGTAGGCTGTTTTGGGACGATCGAATAAGGGAGAAAGAAAACTAAAAAAAAATCCATTTTCGCACCATTATAATATCATCTATTTATTTATCTTGGATGTCTAGCAATAAGCATCCTAATATGATGCATACATTTTTCCTTCTTTTTACCCGAAAAGGTTTATGTATTGTGGTGAGTGGTGACTCTATATATGTATCAATGTGATAATGTTAAAACCTTGAAAAACACAGTGTCTAATTTTCATTTTCTATTCTTATAATTAATAAAATTAAGGAAAAATCCCAGAATACGTTAGTTATTAAAAATACTCATCGTTAGTCTGCAGTTTGGCAAAAAATGGACGAAGAGGCTTTGTGAGTACGTACTTTCTTTTTCTCTCGTGATTTTTTTAATGGGTACGAAATAATCTGATTTCATTCAAATTTTTTTTATAGATGGGTGCCGAGATATACGACCCTCGATTGTATATCCATCCTGGACCAAGGGATACGAGGTATTTAACCGAGCAAGAAACATATCGCTCGCCAGCGATTTGGCACAACGATCCGTTATACACTTCGTACCGTATACATTTGTAAATTATTCACTATTTTAAAAGTTTATTTTTTTTCCTTTGACTAACAACTTCGTATTTTTTTTGTAGGAATCACTCATTCCCTTCGGTCATCGAGGGACAACAAGATTGCCCGCTTGGTATGATCAACTCTCGCCTTATCTAGAGAGGACGAGATCGGACATGCAGAGGCACTTTATGCGGATTGATATCGACAACGATCTGCTGATGACAATGGCAGAGCGATGGACGCCCCAAACACACACCTTCCACTTTCCCGAGGGGGAGTGACGATCACCCTCAAAGATGATGCCATCCTCACCGGGTTGCCGGTCACTGGAGATGCCACCCTCGGCCGCTCGGGAAAACCCAAACAAGGGTGGGGGCTGCTGATTCTTGAGGGTCTAGGGTTCAACATGCCGACCCAAACTTAATTCCAAGGACATGGGCATCCACCGCTGAATGCAAGGGCAAGTATCGACTCTGTGGCTCGTTGCGGCCATAAAAAATCAGGGAGTTATCGGTCTGGACACACCCGAAGATCAAGTGGAGCGGTATGCACGCGTCTACCTCATTGGATTGGTTGGTGGATTTTTGTTCCCCGACAAAGCAAACCGGTGGATTCAAGGCATGTGGTTGTCGTTGCTCCTAGGTGACTGGGACGAGTTCGGGAGAAAGAGTTGGGTGTCGGCCGTGTTAGCTGTGGCCTACCGGGAGCTGTGTACTTGCTCGAGGATGGGAGCGAAACAAGCTGGTGGTGTGATGTTCATCCTCTAGTTTTGGGCATGGGAGCATTTTCCGATGTTCGCACCTCGAGACCCGCGGGAATTCAGGTTGCCAAATGAGGAGCTACGAGGTGTAGCAAATCCCCCCTATGGTTTTAAGTAAGTTTAATTTAGATTTATTCCAAATATGCAATTTAATTTAGATTAACATTTATTCCAAATATGAAATTTAATTTAGATTTAGATTAATTCCAAGTATGGATGTGAACTCAATTTAGAGTTATTCCAATAGCAATTTATTTAATTTAGATAAGTATGATTTAGATTTATTTCAAGTATGCAATTCTAATTTAATTTTAAATTGATTATTGATTAAGTAAATGTTTAGGAAACTCTCACATGCTTAGCATCTATGCTTTAAAAAGTTATTAGATGTGTACTTTTGCTTACAAGGTGGATCAGAGCAAATATAAACGACCACTAGTCCGAGCACTCTTTACCGTTTTGTCGTGCTGAGTTTGATAAGCCTTGGTGGAACCAGGTAAATATGTATTTTGAATATTTTAAATTTTTAATACGGAGTGGATATAGTTGGTACTAATTGCACGTTATTAAAGAGTGTAGGTCGCGTGGGACCCATATCCAAATGAGGCGATCGAGCTGCATCGTCTTAGACACCCCGAGGATCATGAGACGTGGTTGTGCAAGGTGACCCTGATCTGTTGGCACGTTGTGGAGTGGCACCTGCCGGATCGAGCCTTGAGGCAATATCGATTGGAGCAACCAATTCCAGCATCCCCGCCTCAAGGGTTCAAGGAGCTCCATGCCATCGACCTATGCCATAAATCAAAGGATTGGATCCGCAAGCATGAGTTCTACATCAACATTTGGGAGAATAGAGCGACTTGGGTGGTCCAAGGGATGCCAGAGATGAGGCCAATGGGGTACCACGATGGGTACATGCAGTGGTATCGGAGATTCACGCTCAGATGGGTGTCAAAGTAAGGTGTTGTGTGGGGTTCGTTGGTAAGTGATATTAATTCTGCCTCTTTGTCTTATTCTTTTGTAGTTAGATTAGATTGATTTTTTTAACATGATTAGCTTTATTTAATTTCATTTTAATATTTCAAATTATTAGGTTGACAGTTTGGAACATGCCAAGCACAACGTCGATAGTGTAACGACCATGGACGAGCGGAAGACATCTTTTCTGCGAAGGCTTTTCAACACCTTCTCTCTAGTACACGAGAGCAAAGGAGAGATGTTATAGCATACCCTCCACTGCCTGCTCCGGCCCGACCTTCCTTCCGTGATAATGAGCGCATTGTGCCCACACTTGAGAAACCATGGAGGAGGAAAAGAAGGCCACCACCAAACATTGGAGAGCTTCATCCGAGTCAACAAACATTGCTTCCTGAACCATGGCCACATTGCGAGTGGTCAACTGCAACTGAGGGCGCTGGAGGGTCGTCAAGCTATGCCCCGTCTCAGGAACATGACATGTTTCTTCAAGGGTTCCCTCAATTCCACCATCAGCAATAGGGTTCCCTCAATTCCTCAATGCCTCCAAAATGTGTTTTACCCGGCCTCCCTTCGCATTTTACCCGGTCGGGTATTTCAGCTCCTGACTGGGTATTTTCGTCTGATCGCTCCTCTGGCTCTAGCCTTCCAATTTTTGATCCGAAACTCGTTCCCACGGCTCCATATCCACGCCAAGTCCTGAAATATGACATAAACGAACAACCTAGCGTGAAATCGGCCTAAAACGCGAGAATAGACTCTCAAACGGTTCAAGAAATGGTGGTCAAAACATGTACAAATAATGGTCTATCAAATGCCCCCACACTTAATCGTTTGCTTGTTCCCAAGCAAACCTGACTCAAACCAATGCAGCTCACTAGACCTCTATAGCAACACACAACCTCGATCGTCGGTAGAGGATTTCCTAGATTATTTAGCAGATTGCGAGGTCAATTGGTCTTCTAAGACGTCCCCTATCTCTCTCAATGCGAGTTCTAGACTCAAACCAGGATCATTAGAAGCAGTGGAACTAAGACAACATATTCATGGATAAAGGGACTCGAACAATTCAATAACCAAGGAATCATTGTATCAGGGTGCTCTTTCACTTCATTTCAATCGTTGGAACCCCTTTTCGCACTATCATTTTACATTTCTTTTGTGTTTCATTCACTTTGCGGGGGTTCCAACTGTATTTTTTGTACGGTCGACCCTTATTGGTTGAGAAAGAGCAATTTTTGTACATCTGTCATTCGCCATAGTACTTCCTTTAACTCCTTTTCCTCAACTCGTGTGGAGGGTCAATGAAATTAAGGGGGGTCGGAAGCTTTATCCGTGCCCTTAAAAACACATCCTCGAGTAGGCAAACCGTTCAACGGGTGAAAATTTTACTTATACTAGAGACGGCTTAGCTTCACCTTGTAGGAGTACCCCACTAAGGATCACTATAATCTCTTCCAAAACCCGATTTTGTGCAATGAACGGTGCCACACACGTTGGGCTTACCCCATGTTTAAGATTTCAATTTTTCTTACATTGAGGACCAACTGCTTTTTCATTTTACACATGAGCACCCTTTTTCGATACACGAGTCCACAACACAATACAAGAGGAGTCACCAATACCACACGAATCAACGGTCCTAAATCCACTAGTTCACAAAATCAACCGGCACAACAGAGAGATAGATAGGAAAAATCTTATACTTCAACATCCTCCGTAGTGCTACAACTACCTCCCTAGGTTGCATATCACCATAAAGACTGTCAATTCAAAGCATACTGAGCAGGTTATTGCAGGGAACAGTACTTGGAGCCCTCAATTTAAAAATTTGGACAGTGGACTAGGCTCCAAGCACACAAACAGAGCTAAACAGTCAAATAGAAACATCCCCCCACACTTAAGTTCAACATTTCCCTCAATGGAAAAGAGGGAAAGATAAGGGGAACGATGTTACCGGTAAGAATAGACTGCAGCTAGACTGGAAAGTGGACCAGTCGGAGTGAGAAGGACTGAAAATGGACCAGTCATCACAATGGCACGGGCTAGAGAAAACACAATAACTCATCCACAAACATGTTAGGTAGAGTTGTAAGCCCAAATAGTACATCATCCAAAGAAAATCAAACCAAACAAACACAAAATCCAGTTTGCACTCTGACTCAAACAAAACAAACACGAAAGGGCCAGCGAGTACAGCCTACTCGAGCTGGCTGGAGTCAATATGCTGCATAAGGTCGTCGACTCCATCCCGCGGTGGTGGTGGCGAGTGGACCCACGGAGTGGTCCAGTGGTGCTCATACGGGGGGTGACAGGACTGGAGCAAATGCTCCTAGTACTCCATCATGCGGCGGTTTCGTCCCCGCTCCCGCTCAATGTGAGCGCTAGTAACACCCTGCTGGGCCTCCAAGCGGTCGAGGCGCTCGTCCAGCGCAGCTAGCCTGGTGGAGTACTCGGCCTGGTGGGCCGAATACTACTGCTGAAACTGGACCTGGTGGTCCATGAGCCGCTAGCTCTGGACAACAAGCTGCTGAAACTGGAGCCCCATCTGGTGGAATTGCTTGGTGAAGAAGTCCATCGACGGACCAGAAGGACCGGAGGAGGACTGACCTCTCTCTGGTCTCCATCGAGGAAGGAGGTCCCCGGGAGGGGAGAGTGGGGGCTCCGGCTCATCGACATCCATTGCGCCCCCATCGTCATCATCATCAGCATCCTTATCATCACCGGTGTCATCCGTGCTAGTGCAGTCCTCATCCTCCTCATCAACCTCCTCATCTGCCTCCTCCTTGTCCGGTGGCATGGATAAACCATCAACCCACTCCCGCCCCTCAGCAGAAGCTAACAGTAGGGCGTTGCAGATGATCTCCCTGCTGAGGGGGGCGGAGCCGCCGTACTCCGTAGCATCTTTCAATCCCGCCAAGTCGATCTTGAAGTGGC